TTACTATGTTTAGAACAATATTGAGTTAAATTATGTTATCTTGAGTTATATTGCAACTTAAAAAGGGGAACGCATTGCGGGAAGCCACTGGAGGGAGTAGGGAGGAGGGAATAAGGGTTTTTTGGTTAAACGAAAATCGTGTTGAATTTGTTGTTATTTCCGAAAAAATAAAAGTTTTTAACCAAAAAAAAAGAAAAAAGAACATGAGACATTTGCCAAAAGCCACCTACTGTTGAAGGGTGAGATTTTACATTAATTTTTTTATTTAGAAAATTCTATGCTGCCTCTCCAGGAACCTTCCTTAGGGGCTTACAAAATAAAAATAAGTAAAACAAAACACCCCACGGCATTAAAACATATTAACTAAAATCCAGCTTTACAAACCCAGCCCCAGCATAAAAATATAAATATTTATTTACTAGCAATAAGGCCCATTGCAGAGAAAAAGGCAACGATAGCTAGAGAGAGGGTGTAGGAGAGTGGGCGGGCCTGCAGCTGTGGTGGCCCAGGGAAGCGTAGCGTGGCTGTCTCCCCCCTCCCCGAGGCCAGTTGGGCCGCGCCACCAGGCCAGCAAGGCTGGGAGCGGCACAGGAAAGGCTGGCAGGGCCTCCCACCCGAAGCAGGGTGTGCGGCCTCCCTGGGCCAGGCCACGGCAGCCCAGGGAAGCGCGGTGTGGCCATTTCCCCCCTCCCCGAGGCTAGTCGGGCCGTGCCACTGGAGCAGTGAGAAAGTGGGCAGTGCAGGGAACCCCGGTGGCCCTCCCCCGAAGCAGGGCCTGCAGCCTCCCTGGGCCAGGCCACGCCGGCCCAGGGAAGCGCAGCGCGGCCATCTCCCTACTCCCTGAGGCCAGTTGGGCCATGCTGCCGGGCCAGCGAGAAAGCGGGCAGTGCAGGGAAGCCTGGCGGGCCCCTCCCCCCCGAAGCAGGGCCCGCGGCCTCCCTGGACCAGGCCACGCCGGCCCAGGGAAGCGCAGCGCGGCCATCTCCCTACTCCCTGAGGCCAGTTGGGCCATGCTGCCGGGCCAGCGAGAAAGCGGGCAGTGCAGGGAAGCCTGGCGGGCCCCTCCCCCCCGAAGCAGGGCCCGCGGCCTCCCTGGACCAGGCCACGCCGGCCCAGGGAAGCGCGGCAATCTCCCCCCTCCCTGAGGCCAGTCGGACCACGCCACCAGGGCAGCAAGGAAATGAGCGGCGCAGGGAACCCCGGCAAGGCCCCCCCCCAAGCAGGTTCCGCGGCCTCCCTAGGCCAGGCCACGCTGGGCCAGGGAAGCATGGCACGGCTGATTCCCCCCGTCCCCGAGGCCAGTCAGTCCACCAGGGAAGCGTCCATCCCAGCTGGTGGCTCCCCGCAGACTGAGGGTGAAAGGCTGGCCGGTGGGTCTGTGGGCGGGACTGAGGCGATGGAGGGAGGCGATGCGGCCAGGGGATTGGCCCTCTCAGACCCAGCACCCGGCCAATGGCACATGAGTCCCGTTGAGTGGCAGCTGACAGGCCAATGGCTGAGGGAACGCATGGAATGTGGCCACCTCAAATTGCTTTTATAATATAAGGAAGGATGATATTTCAACGCTACCTTTTCAGAGTCCTGCTTGAGACAGCTTACTATTAAAATCGTCACAACATAGAAAATAAGCATAAATGTTATCCATTAAAAACACCGAAAAAAGAAGAAACTGTGAGGTAACTGCACTAGAAAATATTTAAATAACAATCACAAAATTTATACAAAAATGTGTACAAAAAATCTACATATATAAATACACAAGGCAACTGAAAATGGTGTCCGGGATGTTCCAAAGCCTTGAAGGCATTATACAAGCACTTTGCCCTAGGAACATTCTTTCAGAGAATTTCTTGCAACTAAGTTATGATACATCGGTGAATATTAATGAAATTTTTGATACCTACTTGTTGAAATGACAGACCAAGAGTCGCTGCTTTCATCCACTTTCAGAAGAAGAATAGTATTGAAATGATAGAACATTCCGGACACCATTTTCAATTGGTAATGTCTGTTCACAATTTGGTAAAGTCTGTGGTATTCAGGTCACCTGACCTGACCAGCTTCTCACTTCCTGAAGGAGGCTTAAATTCCATCTCAGTCTTTCTCCGCTTTCAATTGCCATTTTCAGGGATTTTTTTTTTTTTTTAAATTGCAAAAGTCCTGAATGTTTGCCTTTCGCTTGGGCGCTTCTTGTAGGCTCTTTAATTCAGTCCATATTGCTCTCTGTCCCCCCCCCCCCAGAGGATGATCCAGCCACTAAGAATCAACATATCTCCAGCCTGGCGCTTGTTTCTTGGTCATGCTGGAGCACAATGGAATATGGGGGGAGTGAGGTAGAACTCTGGAAGTTGGCTTTTATAGATAGTGAAAAAGATGGAGAAACATAGCAGGGCAAGAAGTGACCAGAAGAGGAAAACTCAAGAGGTGAAGAATAATCCATTTAAGGTCCAACACATTTCAAATCAGCAAGCCTTATCTTCAGGGCCAACTTCCTTCCAAATTGCTTTATACAGCATTACAGATTGTAAGATTGTTTTAAGCACTTATGAGCATGACCAAATCAGTGCCCCTGAAGAAGTGTCTCCTGAATCAATGTCTTCCAAAGAAAGACTTAAATATTTCAGTTGGGCAGTTACATAAAACAGACGCCCCATGGTGCATTAGAGGCTATTAAAGCATATGCTGGAACATATATATAGCCTTTAAGGTGTCACTGGACTTCTGTTTTATTTTGCTGCTACAGATGAACACAGCTACCTATTTGGAATCTGAAAGTCAGTTTATACCACTGTTTAAAGAAGCTTCCTGCTTCAGTTACCCCTGGTGATGAGTATCCTGATTCAAAACCCTTTGGGCCTTCACAAATGGATTACTGACTGTGTGCCATCTGTGAAGTTTCCTCCTCTAACCATTCCTTTTATAGATATTACTAGAAATAATGCCCGTTGCGGAAATAAATACAACGGGATCTAGAAAGAGGCTCTGGGAGAGTGCTCTGGCTTTGGGCAAACAGTGTCAGTTTCCTGTGGAGACCTCAGCAGGGTTTAATGACAGAGTCCACTGTTTTCTCCAGAGGGACTGATCTCTGCTACCTGAAGAGCATTTGTATGTTTGAGTTATCTGTAGCCCTCACCTGGAGAGTGGTAACCATTGTTACCCAATGCTGAGGAGCAGTGCCATCAGCCATACACTAAGGGAGTGCATTTTAGAATTAGAACTTTGGCACCCACTATTCAATTATATATAAGGAGAGATTACTGGGGCATAGGTTTTCACACAGGCTTGCCAACTCAAGGTTGGGAAATACCTGGAGATTTAGGGGTGGATGGGGAGGTATAGTTTGGGGAGGGATATATTTCCACGGAGTCCACCTTTGGAAGCTGCCATTTTCTTCACCAGAACTGATCTCTGTAGTCTGGAGATCACCTGTAATTCCAGGAGATCTTCAGTCCCCCACCTGGAGATTGGCAACCTTGAGCACTAGTCTAGCTGAACCTAGGGTTGCCAAATTCGGGTTGGGAAATACCTGGAGAATTGGGGGAGGTGGAGCCTGAGGAGGGTGGGGCTTGGGGAGCGGAGGGACTTCAGTGGGGTATAATATCAGAGTCCACTTTCAAAAGCTGCCATTTTCTCCAGGTGAACTGATCTGTGACACCTGGAAAGCTACTGTAATAGCGGGAGATCTCAAGCCACCACCTGGAAGTTGGCAACATTAGCTGAACTGGAACCCGAACCCAGTAACATGGTAATCCTGAGGTCTTGAAGTTTAAACATTAAGGGACCACGAACTGACCAGGCACCTCCAAAGCCTTTTTAGTTTCGTTCCCAGCCGCTCTACCGATTCTCTTCCCCACATAAGTTCCGCACAGCGCTACGAAACAATACCCCGGCCAACGGCCTTCCTGACCTCTTTATCCACCGCTTTCTCACCAACTCCCAACAGCGCGTACAAATCCAGCTCCAGCAGTTCTTTATCAACCGCCATATCGTCTTACGGTCTCTTTCTTCTCCTCAGGTTAAACACACTTAACTACAGGCCGGACACTACTATTACTCCCGGCACTTCTTCTCAGAGCCTTGCTCTTCCCATGGGCTGTCGGGAAATGTAGTCTTTTCTCCTGCAAACTTACTTTCGCTCTACACAACCGTTTCCTGTTCCTTAAACTACAATTTCCATCATGCCACCATAAATCCGATGCCGGAAGATTTCTTGAGCAGGGTGGAAATAACAAATGTTCCCAGCAGACATTGCGCAAGGGAAGAAAGGAAGTTATTGGGGAATGTAGTTTTCTAAGAAATTCTAGTAGAGAACGAGATGTGTTTGAGAGCGATGCAACTGTAACTCGCACCATATCAAACGCTGCCATTGATACAGTGAATATTATCGGACGATGAAAGAGGGTAGCAAAGTTTCCTGCTTGCTTTTCTAGTTCACGTTGCCCTAAGTTACCGTATCAAAAGCTTGCCTTGTGCAGGAGGAGAGAGATTATGTTTTGCCGGGCAGTGATTGTGCACTGACACCGTTGACGTTTTTTGATTTCCAGATTGTGATCTCCAAGCAGTCGAGTGTACGCTATTGCTTGGCTCGTCTGTGATAAAAGAAGTGGAGACTGGTACAAGGGATGGGTCTTCGACTAGCTCCCAGTTCAACCAAAGGTAGGTCGTAGGAGTGGCATGGCCCTCGTCACATTTGCTTCTTAGAAAAAAGAGAGAGATGCGGGTGGGGAGGTAGGACGACAAAAGTCGAGTATATTTATGATAAAATTTAAAAGCGAATTATCTGTCGAGAATATCGGGATTTAAAAGGATGAAGGTCATTTGAGTAGTGAGTAGGCTGGAGATGGGATGGCTACATTTAGTTCTATTTTACACAAGCTGGAGGTGATAGAATAGAATAAACGGGACAGGGTTAAAGCCGGAACAGGCTGGAATGGGCATTAAACAAACCGCAAAAAACAGTGGGATGCATTATAGACCCTCGAGAACAATATTTTAGAAACGAGAACGCAGAACTCTCATGCTTTTACGAACTCTTTAATAAGAAAATAAAGAGCTGGCTTTCGAGCAAGGGAACCTTTACCTTTACCAGTCACAGGAGATAAAAAAATAAGGCCAAGGCTGATGGTGCGAAATCAGATTAAATATATTTTATTTCTCAGTTAAATTTCTAAAAATTCCCTACGCATTTTGCCAACAGGCTTAGTTGGGGGAGTGTGTTATATATAATGACAGCACTTAGTTTACATAAGTATAATTAAAATTATATAATTAAGATATTACATTAAAAGTTAAAATCCAGGTCCTAAAATATCAGTCGCATACAAAACTGCTAGATCTTATTCTGTCCTTAAGACTCATAAGAAAGAGAAACTCTTTGTAAAGAAGAGAGGGAAGGCTGTCTGGCACCCAACAGGTTTTGGCTCAAAATTAAAGAAATCTTTTTGTGTGTGGCTAAATGAATGTTACAAACTTGTTCATCTTGCACTCAATTGTTTTTTTCAAAAAGAGTAAAAGGTGATCTAATAAACAGGGTGGCCAACCACCAGGTGGTAGCTGGAGATAGCCAGGGATTACTTCTAATCTCCAGATGACAGAGATTAGTTCCCTTGGAGAAAATGGCAGTTTTGGAGGACGGATTCCATGGTAGTATACCCTGCTTTGGTCCCTCCCCTCCAAAAACTCCATGCTTCCCAGACTCCATCCCCATATCTCCAGGAATTTCCCAACCCAGAACTGGCAACCCTATGAATAAAACAGTGAAATTTCAGTGTTTTAATTTCTAAAATATTGTTCTCAAGTGTCAGTAACACATACCACTGTTTTCTTCATCACTATTTGTTTAATGCTGGTTCCAGTCTATTCCGAGGCCATTTGGCTGAGAAGGGTGAATAAAAGTATGTCATTTCAGTGTTTTTCTTTGTAAAATATTCCTTTTGAATGTCTTTAATACATTCCACTGTTTTTTTGTGGAACTATTGTTTGTTTAAGGCCTGTTCTGAGGTGTTCTGGGGGGCATTTTGGTCTGGAAAGGGTTGATAAAAGTGTGAGAGTTCCACAGTTTTGTTTTAAAATATTGTTCCCAAGGTCTGTAATGCATCCTACTTTTTTCTGAACTGTTGTTTGTTTAATGCCTGTTCCAGCTGGTTTTCAGATATTGCAAAGGCATTTTGACTGGGAAAGGGTTAATAAAAGTGTGAGAATTCCACATTTTTATTTCTAATATTGTTCTCAAATGTCTGTAAGGCATCCCACTGTTTTTTGCAGTACTATTGTTCATTTAATGCCCATTCCGTCCCGTTCCAAGGTGTTCCGGAGGCATTTTGGCCTGGAAAGGGTTAATAAATGCATGATATTTCTGCACTTTGCTTTCCAAAATATTGTTCTGGAGTGCTTTTAACGCATCCCACTGTTTTTTTGCAGTACTATCATTTAATGCCCATTCTGGGCTGTTCTGTCTTTTACCCTGTCCCAGAATGAACTATGCCAATTCATATTCCAGCTTTGAATTCATTTTTAGTAAAAACAAAACAAAACAAACCTGAAAACAGAAAACTAGCTCAGCAGGGAGAAAGGTTCTACCCCCCTCATACCTTGCTATGCTAGCTTTCTGTTTGCAGGAAATGTTTAACATAGGGAGTTTTGGAATGTGACCCTCGTTCTGCTGTAGGAAGTGTAGTTTATTTACATTATTTATAGTTTGCCTTTCTCACTGATACTCAAGGCAGATTACACAATGTAAATCAATACAATCAACAGCATGGAACACCCAGTAAGCAGTACTGGTATTAATACGACATGTGAAAATTACGTCGTAGGATAATACATGCAGCAACAGATAGTATGGACTATACACAGTAGTATAGTCCACACTTCATTTCCTTGAATTTGTGGACCAGCTGTTCTGAAATGTGGTACTGTAAGTTTCTTGTCATTGTTATATATCCACTAAATTTCTTCTCAATTTAGAAAAACATTGGTGTGAAGGTAAGATGATCCACTGCAGCCCTCCCTAAGGCATTTGGCATAGGGCAGCATAAGTAGCAG